CTGATGTCACCATTCAGGTCAGATGAACTGGCACTTGGTTTTAGCATCCTGCTGAGCTCCTGATCGCTTTTTTCCCACCTAATGCCTAGCAGCTTTTCACAAACAGCCCTGTCCTGGGTGCTGACACAGAGCAGCATTTACCTTCGATTTCCACTGAGGTCACCCTGAGGAAGAATATCTTATAACCTGGATAAGGAAAGTGAGTCCCAGCCGATGGAAGAAGAGCAGTTTAGTTAAGTGTGGTATAGCAGCTTTGACCCCGCCCTTCCCAGCTCATCTCTAGTCAACAAGTTTTGCCCTGGCAAACTTGAACCTTCTCATGTTTCTTTCTTCCCATTTCCTGGAGAGTGTAACTGGCTCTGAAGAAGGGCCTTTACAGGGAAGAGACAGTCCGGGTGCATGTACTTGTTCACAGGCTGTCATACTTCCTGGTTCAGCTGACCGCCTGAAATACCACAGCCAGTTCTGAAAGGACAATCTGAAGTGGGTACTAAATTATGAAGTGTTGCAAACACTAGAGAGGAAAATCAAGGAAGGCTATTGGCACTATAGAAAAGGTTAAAAAATCAAAATCATTCTCTGCACAGAACTGACGAATAAGATTTAGCTAAAGGAAATATAAGACTATGACTCTGGGAACGCTAACAAAGAACTGTTGGGCCAAAAAGGGATGATGAAAATGGCTGTAAAGCACCAGGATTAAAAAGCAAATGTGCTCATAAAAAAGCTTTCAATGGAATAGACAGAAAACAAGCTATTTTGGGTAATTATTCAGTGGGGACAGTGGTTTTGTTTTACAGATGGGAAACTGAAACCTTTAGAGGGAAAGTGACCTGAATATTATCATAAAGAAACAGAACTCCACTGTTCTGACTCTCAACTCCCTTTGCACCCAAATCCAACGACATTCCATCTTTTATGTTCCATTGTTCTCTAAAATCAACCCTCTCGGATGTGGAAACTTTGATGCTCTTGGAAATTGCTTCTATATTTGTCTAATGCCAATTTCTGTGCTAGAGAATGTTGAAGCTCAACCCCCAAACAGGACTTGGCATGGTCTATAGCTCATTACAACTTCTCATTAGTTGTGTCTCTTGGGGCAACTATGGCATTCCTGAATGTGACTCAGTATCACCAGTCACAAAGGAGGGTTCCCGATTAACCTGCACTGAGCCAGAGTAAAGACTGCAAAAAGCTCTAAGCAAATGAAGTTACACAGCTTGTATGAAGAAAGTAAAACAATTATACAAAAATTTCCTGAAATGCCATCTTAGTATTAACCACAATGCCTAACACTTATTTTACATATATTACACACTCGGCACTGTATTTGTGCTTGGCATTCATTAATAATTTATTTCTGTCAATGACCCTATGAGGCAGGTACTATGATTATCCCTATTCTAAAATAGGAAACTGAGTCACATAGATGTTAAGTAACTTGCTGTGCAGGCAAGAAACATGAATTACTTTAGAATAATTAGACTATATCAACTGATACTGAGAATCCCGATTTCAGAAACCTTGGAAGAACTCTGTAGGTTAAAAATAACTTCATCAACCCAAATAAAGTATGGAGTTTAGTTCACAATAATGTACAATGGCAGTTTCTTTGTATGGAACACCCTTTAAATGTGCCATGGTGATGTAAGATGTTAAAGGCAGGGAAAACTGGGTGTACTCATCTTTATGAGTAATGTCTTTACAACTTTTCTATAAATCTAAAACTATATAATAAAAGCCCAATATGCAAATTGTCCCCTCAATCAGGAGTTCAAATGTTCGACCAAGGGGTGGGGTCGGCTGGAGGCCCAGGCCGGTGGTGGTGGTGGTGGTAGGCAGCTGGGGGAAGGGAGGTCGCGGCTGGCAGCCACTAGGGATCCTACACTTGCATAAATTTCGTGCACTGGGCCTCTAAAATTAAAAAGTTCTTTAAAAAAACACACACAACACTTTATTTGTATACTTCACGGAGGGAGCTTTTCACTGAGTCAATGCAGATACAAACAATGCTTTTCTTTCAGAAGAGCATCGAAAACTGTGGGGCTCGAGCCCTGACCAGTTGGTTAGAGCATCATCTTGATATGCCAAGGTTGTGGGTTCAATCCCTAGTCAGGGCACACACAAGAATAAACCAATGAATGCATAAGTGAGTGGGACAACAAATCAATGTTTCTTTCTCATATATAAATAAAGTTACTGTTTAAAAAAAGAAATCTGTGGGGCTCTCACAAGACTGCACATTTCACATGTAGTAAGATAATGTTCAGGTCCCCTTTAGTGCTAATTTATTTAGCTGCAGAGACTTGTGCTGGAGTTTTAAAGGCAAATTGGAAACTATTTCCTGGAACAACGCCTCACAGCATGCCTTTTGATTCTTGGATTATATTTCTTGAATTCTGAAGAAATCTGCTTTTTTCCCCCCTTCTGTGCATTTTTGGTGCTGAGCTGTTTCCGGTTTTCCCACACTCCTGCCTGTCAGAGAGAAGAAACCACAAAAATGCAGCAAAGCAAAGTTTGTCCATAGAGTTGCAATTCCACCTCTGAAGGCTGGAGAGCTCTCCTGCCAGCAGTGGGTTCAGGGCAGCGAGCGGCGCCTTCAGATGGCCAGCCCGCTGCCTGCTGCCCAAGCCTACCTCTCCACCAGCAGACCAGCTAGCCACATGGGCCAACAGGCCATCTCAGGATACTGGCAACCATCAGAGAATCCACAGACAGAAAGTGTGCCGGCAAATGCAATATTCATTTGCGGCTCACTCATTTTCCTGCCTAACTGTGTGATTCTCAAACCTGTACAAAAGAGTGTGATTTAGAAAGCGTGTGCCAGGTCCATGTACTTTACAAGTATTAATTCTACTAATATTTATCAACTGAAGCAGATATTTTTTTCACCTCCACTTCACAAATGAGGAAACTGAGGCCAGAGATTAAGTAACTAGTAACTTGCTGGAGGTCTCCAGTCAGTAAAGCGTGGAGCTGGGATGTGAATACAGGCAGTCTGCCCTGAGGCTGCACCCTTAGAATCGGACTCTCCTCTCTCCAAGGGGAGAGGCCATACAGCTTCCTTCCTATTGTGCTCCTGACTTTCAACCAGGAATGGCAGCCTTCCTACTGCCCTTCTCTAGTGCTCCAGAGAGATCTGTAAAGTCAAGACAACACCAATAATTTCCAGAATGGTGCTTGACACTTAGTAGGCACTGAATATGTACTTGTTGGATAAATGAATAATGGCAGCAATTAAAACAGCCAGAAGGGATTGTTTTCAATTCAAATTCAGAATTTGATTCACCGTGCAAGGGGGTAGCTGGGGGAACTGAACCATTTTTGCCATATCCTAGGATTCTTTCTTACCGAATCTGGTTTTATAAAGGACAAATGAATGAGGAGCTGCAATGAGGACAAGAGAAATACACAAAGCTCCTCCAGGTGTTTATACATTAGGAATGCCTGCCTCTTCCACACTGAAAAGTGCCCCAATTTTAAATGGAGAATTAGACCCAGCACCCTTTGCCAGTCTATTTCTGGCTCACTAGCAGGAGGTAGAATGAAGGATGTGACCTACAAACGTTTGATTCAGGAGTGGAAATGTGTTTTTGAGGTAAAATAGGTAGACTCACACGGCATTGAAGGGAACCAATGTGTTGCCACCCTAAAGCTGTTTTTTTGGGTTCTTGACTCTAAGAAAGAAGACTCAGAGGGAGCCTGTGACCCTCTCCACTTTCCTGCCCAAGAGATTCAGACAGAGTAGCCTACTTGGGAAGGAAGCCTTGTCTTACTCCCCTTAAGGATCTTTACCCCAGCAGGAAGACTCCAAGCCTGCTTGGCATTGATCAGCTGAGCCCACTGGTTTTGAGCTGCCTGGCAAAAATTTTCCTGCCATGTTCCCCTTTTCCTCAGCTATCTATATAGCACCTATTCTCACTTCTGAAATCTAAGACCCCCACCCCCCATTTTCTCCTTTGTCAAAATGTCTTATACACTCAATGTTCCTCGCTGTCTTTGGAATTTTCATTCTTATGTGAATTCCCCATGTGCATGTATTAAAACTCTGATTTTCTCATGTTAATCTGTCTCTATTAATTTGATTATTAGCATATACAGCAGAACTTAAAAGGCAGGAGGAAAAGTATTTATGTATATGTGTGTGTGTTTACTGATTTGAGGAAGAGAGAGAGAGAGAAAGAGAGAGAGAGAGAAATATTGATTGGTTGCCTCTGCACACAACCTGACTGAGGACTGAATCCTCAACCTGGGTATGTGTCTTGACTAGAAATGGAACCTGCTATCTCTTAGTGCAGCGGTCGGCAAACCGCGGCTCTTAATGAGTTTGCCGACCACTGTTAGTGTATGGGACGATGCTCCAACCAAGTGAGTCATGGCCAGGGCAGTATTATTATTATTTTAAGGCCCACAGTATCAAAAAATGTTGTCACAGAGCCTGCTGACGAATGTTAGTGATAATCTTCATAATAAAATCCCACCCCTATGTCTTCCTATTCAAGTACCTAAAACTGAGCAAACAAAGGAGGGAGTGGCAGGGTATTGAATTTTATATGAAATTTTGTGGCTCTGACTCTGCAGAATGACCAAGAGAGGAATGCCTCCAGGAGGAAGTTTGCATTTCCTTTCTCCAGGCCCCCAGCTTTGCATCGTTATCTGGTCCACTGTCTGATTGTAGCTCCTGCCAGAAGCTGGAAGGGCTGGTTAGCAATGACCCTAAACCCTTGGGGGTGGCAGCTCTCATCACAATCCCTGGGAACCTGAGAGAGCAGTGCCTGCCCCTCTCACAAGGGTAAGAAAGAATCCAAATGCAGGTACGTTTCCATAGCTCCCCAGGCATTTCCAGTTTGGAGCCAGAGCTGAGAACCAGAGTTAGCCTTTATCACCCATCAGGCAATCTCGTTTTCAGCAAGTCAGTACATACTGTCCTGAAGATTCCGTAAGTAAAGAGGACTATTAGCACAGAGCTGATATAATTCAGAAGATTATGGCAAACTTACTTGGAAGCCCTCTGCGATGTTGCCTTTTTGAGGACTTGTTTGTGATTGGATGGGGGTTTGGGGACCAGGGACGAGGAAGAACTTGGAGGTGGCACCACTTTCTGTGGCAGAGTGGCTGGCTTCTGGCCACCAGCCGTGGCACTTGAAATTCTGCAAGCTGCACCATTATTTATTGTCCATAAATTGGAGTTAGGTAGTGTCTGGCTGCCAAAGATAGCCTATCAGAAAAAGGAAAAAAAGAAAAAGAGAAAAGATCAGTGGTGATGCCCTTTACAATTCAGTTGCTATAATTGGACGAGGTTTGTAATCCTTCGGTGGGACAAAAGGAAAAGGGAAATTGTTAAAGTAATTTTTTAGGAAAGACTTTTAATAATGCCAGTGCAGGTCTAGATTCAGAGAAAGGGAATATCCTGAAGCAGAGTCCAGGTGCTCTGTTGAAAGTATTCTCAGCAAGTGCTACACATTGGTCCACACGAGTGAATCAGAAAAGCATATGGTCTCTCTTAGCTCCTTCTTTGTTAAATTCATCAAATGTTTAACAAATGTCTCCTACTGGATGGCAAGTAGTAGAAGAGTTGCACAGAACAAAAGGAACTGGAAGCCTGACTCAACCTGAGCCCTCTCCCAGACACTGCACCCCTCCAGAAGGTTTGCACATCTGAAGAAAGGGAAGAAGTCAGTATGGCTAAGGCAGAGAGAGCAAACAGAGCGAAGAAAGAAGGCTGGGACAGACACCAAGAGCCAGATCATGCGTGGCCGTGGAGGCTCTTTGTAGAATTCTGGCACAGTAGCATCCCATTGGCCTAAAGATTGTCACTAGATGGACATCTGAGAGCACTTGTGCTTTCAAAGTGAAATAACCACTCGAATACAAGATGAACACAAGCGTATTTTTGCTCAGAGGGTAAGCCTACAAATAAATGAAGACCTAAAAATCATGATTTAAACAATACAAACACCAACACATATCGGTAGTTAGAATGTGAATGTATGCTTCCTTCAAGTAGATCTTTTAAAAATTCTTACAACTTATTTATCTCATTAGAAGAAGATTGTTTAGTATCACAAATTTTGTTACTGGTTCTTCAATATTATTAACACCGCTTTCAATATGCATGCATTATAAAAGCTTTCAATGTGAAATAATGTTAACAGAGAATTACTGTAATAGACGAAATACATAGGACTTTGTATTAGATGATGTCTGGCAACTGATTCCATCTGTAGATACCACATATGAAACGACATGAGGAAAATGTCATTTCCTGTGGCAAGGTCCAAAGGAATGAGATTAGATGTTCTTAGGAAAATGTTGCCCTGTAGATTGACATCACTAGCATTATTTTTGTCCTTTATAAATTTTATTTTTTAAGATAAAAAAGATGAACTGAGTCGCTTTAGTAAAATGTTATCCAGCCCTTCCATACTCATGCCTGGGAATGAACCACTTTAGCGAAATGTGTCCAAAGGTGCTGGGCTAGGCAGACCTGAGGGGGACCAAGGGTTCCTGCATGGCCTGACAAAGAACAAAACAACTGCAGAGGTCGAGGACCGCTGTATTTTCAAAGAACCAATCCGAGATGTTTCATCTCTGTGAACCCAAGGGGAAACTGAAGTGCTGTTCACTCACCTCTGCCTCTGACCCAAACAAGGGGAACAAAGACAGTGCTGAGTCCACGGAAGCCAGAGGGAACTCTGTGGGGTGCGGCAGGTCCCCAGAGGGCCCAGGAGACTTGCTGCTGCTTCAGAGGACAAGGAACCAGAGGTACAACAAGAGGGCAGGCCCATGGCACTGGCTCCACAACATACTGGCATTCCCCTCCACCAGGTGTCCATGTCCGGGGGCCTGACAATCTGAGGGAGAGGCTCCGATGGAAGAGAGGAGGAGGCAGAAATGGGCCACCCAAGGCTTCTATTTTCACCACCTCATTTCAGTATGTGAGCTTACGTGTGAAGAGTGCTTGCCGGAGGCTTGATCAGTATGGGGGATAAAGAATATTTATTCACTGTGGTGACAACCATATTTTCAAGTTCATCGAAGTGTTTGTTTTTAATATATTGTTGGATACGCAAAAAAAAAATTTGCTGGACATGCATAACCCACAGACACAGACAACAGGGTGGTGAAGGCCTGGGGCAGGGGCAGGCTAGAAGAGGTCATTGAGGGATAAAAGGGGATATACGTAATACTTTCAACAATAAAAATTTATTTTAAAAAATAGAACAAAATATTCAAACTAAAATCTTGCTGGGCCATCTAAACACAAAGAGTAAATGAAAAGAACAAGATCAAAACAATGGGTATAGTAAACATTTTTGTGTTAAAAAAAGGTACATATATAACAACATATACACAAAGACACAACGTTAATATCTGCATGGAACAATTCTGAAAGATTACCAAAAAACTGGTAACTTCCATGGAGAACTGGTTAACTAGGGGGTTAATGTGGGAGAGAAACTAATTTTTTACTATATACATATTTATCTTTTTGGATTTTGTACCATCTATATGTAGTTATTTATTAAAAAATAAATTACAAAAAATGTCAAAAGGAAGTCAAGTTCTAGTAATATTTAAGCAGGTAACAAATTAACTCTGAGTACAAGTAGAAGTGCTCAAATAAAGCCCAAGTTTCGCGCGGGTGGTAGAGGCTGAAGAAGGAACTGTCTGTTCCACACTTATGGCTGCAAAACCAGGTTACGTCATCTCGAGAGGCAGAGACCCAGGCAAGGGAGAAAGAGCATGGCTTTCCATTCACATGCTGCTGAGGCTCACATGGAGGCTCTGTCACTTATCAACTGGTGACCTTTCCAAGCTACTTAACCTCTCCCAAGCTTCACCCTCCTCATAAGCAATTAGTATTACTTTGTAGGATTGCTGGGGATTAAATAAAGATCACATAAGCAAATCTAGCCTAAGCATTCAATAAAGAGTTCTTGAAATAAAATTAAAGCACCAGATACACACAGCAGACATTCAACTAATGTTCCGTTCCTTCTCGAACCTCAAACGTCCACCAAGAGCAGAATGACATGCAGCCTGCCTCCAGCTGAATACTTGTGAGAGGCAGCTGGTTATGTATCTCTCTAGTCTAGTCTCACGATGATGCTCACTAACTGTGAAGTAAACTAGTGAAAACGAAAACATATGCTTAGGTTCCCTACATCATATTTGCTCAGTTCTCTTTGGCAGGAATACTCTTCTCCTCTTTTGAAACTTATAAAAATTTATTTGTATGTCTTATCACATTTAGCACATTCTACCTTGTATTGCAGCCACTTATGTATGTATTTTTTTTCTCTGTCTGGACAATACACATTGGAAATGGCTGGATTTCTATCTGATTAATTTTTGTTTCACCCATGGTACCTGGAATGACTTGTGCATAGAAGGTGTTTAAGAAACATATACTCCATAAATAAAACAACAACACAACCCTTACATTATAACAATTATTCATTTCTTTTAGCAACAATAAATTCCTGTATAAGAGAATAGGAAAGCTTGTGTTTACATAGAAATGTAATCTTATAATAGGGCCATTCTCTATTACACTGAATAGTGCCTAGTGTGTTATTTGTATTCAAGTGACCCCCAGCCCAACATGTAAGTAAGCCCTTCTGCGGATCCCAAACAAAAGTAAACTCACTTTCCCGGATGCGCACTTTGTGGCAGGACCTCAGACACTGAAATCCTGTAGTAGTAGGGTCCATCTTTACAGAAACAACAACATAAAATAAGTTAGGTGAACTTACTGCCTCTTACCTGGGTATCACTCTTCCTTTCTTTCTAATACCACTGCCCTGGTTTTATTTGGGTAATGTGTGTTCAGCTAAAAATTATGTTCCCTAGTTCCCCCTGTACCTAGAAAAAACAGCTCTGAAATGTAAACAGCTTCCAGGTGCAGCTGTGGGGACAGCCTGTAAGGGAGGTAGTCTGGGTTGGGGCACACGTTTTGCCCTTTACTGTTCTTACCCAGTGCGATATCTAGCCAGAGGTGGGCAGGCATCAGAGAAAAGTTTCCTGCTGAGGATTGCAGAGAAAGATAAAGACAGAAGGAACATGGGCTCCTGACAGCAAGCACCATGGAGTTTGGGTGAGCCTATCTCTAGACTTCAGATTATATGGGAATAAAATACATCTCTAACTTGTTTAAGCCATTGGGGGAGGGTAGGGGAGAGGGTTCAGTTACATTGCAGCCAAATGGAATCCTGAGTTGAGAAATAATTTCGAATCTATTAGAGTCAAGCTTGTTTAAGCCTCATTGCAACATGTATCACTGCAGCTCAGAAAAGCAGACACTTTTCAAATCAAAAGCTTCTAGGTTTTGATTTGTTTGGTGAGCAGACTCTGCTATACTGCATGGAATGAAACGATTACAACTCTATAACACACCAAATTCCAAGAAGTTCATAATGTAGACAGGTCCCCAGGTGTTTTACCAAGGCCAAGGCTAAATGGGATGAGATTAAATCAACCAAATCTGATAAGAAACCCAGGAAAATATCCAGGCAATGGTAAAAGCAAACATATAAATGGATATATTTAGACTAGCAGCAGCAATCCGTCTCCCCAGGCCCCACAGCCTATGTGAGCCCAATCCTAGAACTCCAATGACAGGTCACATCAACTGTTGTGCCCTGAGAGTTGTTCATAAACGGACAGAAAAACTGTATAAAGTTCCCTCTGTACAATTTCTAAGAAATGGGAGGTGCGGGTATACAATATTAGCACTCTGTGCTTGTGGGCTGACAACTCAGGGATGGGGGCTGCACTGTCATCAGTCAATGTCCCGGGAATGTGAGGGCTGTGTAAGCACTGGCCTCCACTCAAGGCCTGGTCAACATATACAAGACTTTTGCTTCTTTATTGAGTGTGGGAAACAGCCATGCTTCAGCAAGGAGACTCAGAGAAAACCACAGTTTGAGGGTTGGCTTGGCCCCAGGCTAAAGACTGGAAAGGCCCTCCTTCTCCCACAACAGAAGGGGACTCGTGGGTGGGAAGGAGGAATTTCTGATAGACAGAACGCAGGCTGCAACTTGGAAGGTCACGGGGAAGCAAGATCTGGGCTCTCTTACTAGAAAGATAATACTATTTAGAGATTAAATTCTGGGAGGTTTTCCCCCCCTAAATTCCTTCCAGAAAACACTCCTTTTGGTCTTAGGCTTCTTGGTGATGAATCTGATCTGGATGGTTCTTTGTAGTAAAATAACT